TAATCTACCTGTTTCCTTAATTTTGTGTGAGCATTCCTCTTACAACTTTGTCCTTCTGTTCCAGTCAAGAGGGGATGGAGAGGGAGGGGAGGGAGATCAAATGAGGAAAGAAAAATCTCAGCTCAGGGCAGGCCTTCAGAATGGGCAGTCTGGAGCTCTCTGGTATGAGCTGAAACTACGCTTCAAAGGCAGAATTTCTCCTTCCCAGAAGCCTCAATTCTGCTCTTACGGTCTTTCAGTGGATTCAGTCAGGCACACCCAGATTATCTAGCATAATCTCCTTTACTTGTAGTCAACCAATTATGGATGTTAATTACACCTACAAGATACACGTGCATAGCAACACCTAGATTAGTGCTTGACTGAATAACTGGGGATTATATTTTAGCCAAGTTGACAAGTGAAATTGGCGATTACAACTGAGGAGAGGTAGAACAGTTGTATAAGGCCAAAAACACAGTAACAGTAGAAATAAACATTTTTTTTCTGCATGTAACCCTTGTCCCATGGGGATGCCAGATCTCCCTGTAAGGGATTCTCCAAGGTTTATTTCATAGGTGCATACTCTTTCCATCCACTGGAGTTAGCCCTCCTCAGTTCTCTGTTCTGTTCCCTCTTTTTTCGTGTCAGTGGTTTGAATGAAAATAATCTCTGTTGCGTTTTTGAAGAAAAATATGCTTATCCATCCAGAGATTCTGGCATGGTCCTTTTGTGGGGAGGGCATACTGGAATTTCTTTGCAGAAGTTAGAGAAATGTGAGGAAGTTCACGTGGCATTTGAAAAACTCTTCGGTAAAACTGTGATGCACACCTCATCTCTCCAAATATGCATCTCTAGGCTAGACCTTTTCCTTAAACTTCAGATCCATGTAAACAACATCTGGACATTTCCATGCAGCTCTCCATAAGAACCTCATGTTCAAAATGTCCAGAGCTGAATCTGTTGGCTTTTCCCCAAATCTGTTCCTCTTCCCAATACCCTCAATGAATGGAACCATCAACCTGCCATCATGTAAGCCTTAAACTTGGTGTCATTCTGGGCTCCTCCAGCTTTCTCACTTTCCACGTCCAGTCAGTTATCAATATTGCAGATTCTAGCTCTGAAACTTATCTAGAACCTGTCCTCTAGTCTCCATTCTTCCTGATTCTGCCTCATTTAAGTTTCTCTCCTGGGCTATTATGCCTTCTCCAGGTTTACTTGTAATCCATCTCCTAACAATCTATGTAATTATCTTTCTTGTTTAAAATATTTTCATAGCTCCCCGTTCTCATAGGATCATGGCTCAGAATCCTCAGTTTGATCGAGAGCTCCAGAATTATCTCTTATTTTCCCATTCCTACCTGCAAACACAACCTATATGATAGCCATGTGGAATAACTTATATAAAGTTCTTCTAAAGTGCCAGGCTGCTTCACACCCCATTGTCTCTGCCCATGATGTTCCCCTTAACTGGCAGGCTCTTCCCATGTTCTTGTGATCAGTCTTACCTCCTGCCTCACAGACCAGCACCAATCATATCTGCTTGGTCAAACCCTCTCATCTTTCAAGATCTCACGTGTAACTTCTTCTTTAAAGCCTTTCTTGACCATGCCCCCTCCTACACCCCCATCTTGAAGCCAGAGTCACTTTCAGAACTGGATATGGTATCATAAAGATAAAAAATAATGTGGATAAACCAAAGGCTTTCTCGATTCAGCCCTCGATTGCACTCCTCTCTTGGTTATCAGTCTGTTGTGAATCATTCCAGATTGTTTTTCACTAATAATTTACCTTGGAAATATTTCCATGTGAGTGCATGCATATGGACCCATTCTACACAGAGTGTAATTGCTGCAGAGAATTACCTAGGATGAGAGTATTGTAGTTCTTTTCTGCTATTGATGGATGTTCTCCTCCCCAAGATTTTGCGATAACAGTGCCAAGATGAATATCATTTTGTCTGCTTCCTTATGCATAAATGCTAAGAATTTGTTTTCTACACAGATGCCTGAAGATAGAAGTCAGGATAGAAGTTATATGTATTTGATTCTACATATTCTTTCTATATGTTTATGCCTGGTTCTATGTTTTCATTTCTCATCCATTGGTAAGAATTCTTTGTGTATTTTGAACAATAATCCTTAGTCTGATATACACATAGACACGTGTACACACAGGAGGATGCGTGTGTGTGTGTGTGTGTGTGTTTCTCCAAGTTTGTTTTAAAATTTTGCTTATTGTCTTTGTCATAAGAAATTTCATGTTTTTATGTAGTCCAATTTATCACTCTTTGTTTTGGGTTTATGTCTTTCTCAGGAAAACTGTTCATATGCCAAGGTTATTTACATATTCTTTTTAAATTTTTTGTTATGCTATAGTTGTTTTTTAACATTTAGGTGTTTAAATGACTTGAAATTTAGTTTTTTATATGTTTCAGGGTATTACCTGATTTTTTTCTTTTCCCAAACTGAAAGTCAATTGGTCTGCATTACTTATTGTGTAATAACCCATTTATTCTCAGCCCAAATTAAAATGCCATTTTTTGGTAACTAAATTTCTAACTCTATTCATGAATCTGCTTCTATACTTTGTAGTAGATTGTCTTGATCTCTTTTCTTATTTCTAGGGCAGTACCACACAGTTTTGACTACTGTAGCTTTATCGCATGTATTGGTATCTTACAAGGAATCTATTGGTTTTTAGCAACCTCTCTTCTCCTACTGGATGTTTGATGGATGGGACTGAGTCATATTTGTCTTTGAATTTTAAGGACATTTTACGTAGTTTGCATCTCTGTGTGACGAATGGTACAAATGAATAAACCCAGAAGCTATTGGCACTATTGATGCTACACTTTATATTCTCAAGGTCTCAAAGATCATGGTGAAAAATAACAAATTTTTTAGTTTTTATTCCACTTCCTATTGTAGTTCAGCACTTCAGGGAGTTATTTCATAGGATGCTTCTTATTATTTGTTTTTGAATAAATAGTTCATCTGTAGTGTGCAAACCCCAAAGGTACAAAAGTGATACATTAAGTCTCCCCTCAGTTCTTAAAAGGCAATTATACTACCAATTTCTTTTTTAACATTCTTAAATGGCAGCATACCATCCACTCTGTTCTGCACCTTGCTATTTTTATTTAATAACACATCCTAGAGATCATTCCATATCAGTACATGTGATGCTGTCTCATGAGATGGCTGTGGTGCGTTTTATTTAACCGGTATAACAATTCAGTGATTTCAATAAATACCTTTGTAGGTATAATATTCTCAAATATCTAGAATAAAAGTTCTGCACATGAAATTGGGGGGTCAAAGGGTATTTGAATTTTCAGCTTTGATTTATATCATTAAATTGCTCCCCAAGAAGCCTCTAGAAACTTTATGAATGAAGACCTTAATGGCACTTGCCATCGGGCTTCTGACTTGCTCAGGCATGTACTGAGTACCAGCGGGACACTACAGAGGGTCTAGCTGGGAGCCTGACGGTGAGTGGAACTGTATGTGTGCCTGCGTGCATGTGTGTGTGTGTGTGTGTGTGTGTGATGTACACATGGTAAGAAGCTCAAAGAAAAACCATAAATCAATTAATTAATTAGAGTCCTGTTTAAAATCTCTAATGAGTGCAAGTGTTAGTGGTTTGAATAAAGCTCCTTTGCCTTTATTGTTCATTAGGAACTGGCAGTAAAGAATAGGTTTGAATTTCACAGTCTTCACACTGCTAATCAAAGCACAGAGATCTTAAGATCAGAAATTATTACCCCTCACAACAGGAGCATAAAGGGACTTTGGTTTTATGAATTGCTAACTGGGACACTGGCTAGCCTCTCTTTGGGTCTTGGGCTGATTCAGAGGGAAAGAGGCTGGTAATCACATCTTGAAACTGGAACACTGTTTTACAGATCAGGTGGGGCGCAATTTCCTCAAACTCACAGTGTTTTACTTACCTGGAGTCAGGGGGATGAGTGGCCTGACCCAGATTAAACAGCCCCTTAATTCTTCTTGTTGGCAATGGTTCATGGTGGTCGGCTGGAAAGGGTTTTTTTTTTTGTTTTTTTTGTTTTTTCTAAGCATGAAGAAGGATTTCCTGTGGGCAGAAGGCTGTTTTTGCTGTGCTCTGTTAGCAAGCTGGTGCTGGGTTTAGATCGCGTGCCTTCCCCTCCCCACTCCTTCTGATTTCCATCTCATATGTCGTTTTTCTCTCCATTCCTGCCCCCAATAATGTTGGTCTGTTTTGAAAGGACCTTCTCTTTCCCTTGGTGTGTCTTTCTCTATGTGAAGCAGCAAAACACCAGGTTATCATCTCTTCCTTTCACAAGATGCAGGCAGAAATCAGATGAATTCTTATCTTCTGACTTTCCTTTTTTTTTCTCCCCCATTTTTGAGGCTCTTCATGATCATGTGTGAGTGAAAGTGTGAAAGGAGGAGGCTGTTCCACTCTGCCTGACTTAGCTCTCCCTTTTCTGGGTGGCATGCCCTCCCAGCCCTCCAGCATTCTCTTCTTTCCTTCAGTGGTTTGTGTGCCAGCCCCTATGGCTTTTCCTGGGCCACAGGACCCTTGCATCTCCCTTGCATTACCTTTCAGTGACTACTTCACCTGGAATTTCAAGTATACAGGCTTAGAACTGCCAATTAGCATGAGCAGAGAAAATGTCTTCATCTATCTATCATCTATCATCTATCTAATTTAGAGAGGGAGGGAGGGAGGGAGGAAGAGTGAGAGGGAGAGAGAGAGAACACTAGAGAATGAGCATGTGAGTGGAAGGGAGGGAGGGAGGGGGAATGAGAGGGAGAGAGAGAGAACACTAGAGAGTGAGCATGTGAGTGGGAGAGGGGCAGAGGAAAAGAGAGAGAATCTCAAGCAGCCTCCACATTCAGTGCACAGCCTGTCATAAGACTCAATCCCATGACCCTGCGATCATGACCTGAGCCAAAAGCAAGAGTCAGAAGCTCAACTGACTGAGCCACTCAGGTGCCCAAAAATGTCTTTAAATAAAACATTGGCCAACACAATCATACATTATAACAAAAGTTTATTAGGATTAGGTCAAATAGAAAACTTCATGCTTTGCCATTTGCCATATTTACCTGGAATGACCAGATTATACTTAGCTGAGTATGAAACAATTTGTGCCCCTGGATCCTACTGTTTGGAAAGTAAGAAAATCAATGTACATAGCAGTGTGCCTGACACCACCATGGTTAATAGCCTAACAACTGGTTAGCAAAGCGTATGTTATTTCCGAGCTTTGGGCCTGAGGAAGACATCATTCTCTACCTCCTTCAGAAGCAGACCCATCATAGCCTGGGCACCTAAGACCAGAGCCTGCTTTTCTGGAATCTGGTACTAACATCTGTAATTCAAGAGAAGCTAGGCTTGAGGTATCTTTATGGCTTAAAAGGCACAGGTCATGCAGCTGAATTAAAAGCTATTATATCGGTCTCTCTGTCAGGGCCAAGAGCCATGTCTCGTAACGGAGTCCCCAGGCAGCGCACCTGAGTCTTCAGTGTGGTCGACGCATCATGGGCTCTGCTCCTCTAGCTTCTGCTCTTGCTACTCAGCTGGGGGTGTTGGGATCGGAGGACAGGTCGGGGCTGTCTCCTGCCACGTGGAGAACAACCTGTGCTGTGGACCCTCATTACCCGGCATACAGAAGGGACCTGCCACGGGGCCGAGATGTGACTCAGATGCAAGCGAGCATGGGAAGGCTTGTTCTTGGTAAAATATAGGATGGGGGAAAAAGAAAACTGCTCTCCTTGGAAGGGGTCCTAGCAAGCTGGAAAGCAGAGCTACATTTAGTGCAGGCTATGCCCAGCTGGAAGTAACCCCTTCATTCATTCCATGGGGGAAGCAGCTTGACAAGAATGCCCATGGGAACAGTGGGTTGCCACATGGCATGGCTTCTGTGAGGCCATCAGCAGTGGTATTGGTCCCCTGTCTGGGCTTTGCAAATAGTCCTGAAGGCATTAAGGGCATGTAGGAGTCTAGGTCTTTATGATATACAAATGATCAGGTACTAAATAACTGGGCATTCCTTTCAGCTTAGGAGCCACATGTTTATGCTCAGAAACTTTTTTCCTTATTTTTAAACTCTCCCTAATGAAGGGAATGAAATCCAAAATAGGGGTGAAGGGTGTGGAGAGCTGCATACCAGAAGGAAACACCCTCAGACACAAGCACATCCGTTCCTCCCTTAGAGCAGCGAGACTCCTGACCTCGCTTCTCTGCCCTTCCCACCCCACCCAAGTCACTAATAAAATTGGCTGCTGTCAAAACTTAAATTCAATTGCATGATATAGAGGGGTGATAATAAATTCTCATTTCTTTAGGCACCAGAGGATACTTGTGACAAGATTTTGATTCTCTCCAATTTATGCTCCTCCTGTATTTTCCAGCCTCTCTTCCCTATGCTGCCTCCCCAGCTTGGCTTGTACGTCTCAATGAGCCTTGCCTTACTTGTGATTATGTCTGCACTGTCCACCATTAATTCAGCGGGGACTGACCCGGAGTCTGCTCAAGCTTGAGTTCATAGCCTCCTAGGCCGAGGTCCCCCTCGTAAATGTTGTCTTTGCTTGGAGTCTGTGGTGAAGCTTTCTGGTCCAGATCCAGCCCTGCAGGAGGACTGCGGGGCGAGGTGGCTTGCTCCTGGTAACTCATGGCCAGTTCGTCCTGATTCACAATGCATTCTACATCTTCCTCTTTTAGCTGCTCCTGGATTTGGGCAAGAGAGAGAGAAGTCACTTCATGATGAAGAAAACAATAGCAGTCCTACAGTGTAAGAAAGGAGGGTGTTTGCTTTCCTTTCTTAATAGCCCTGTCTTGCCTTGGCTGCGGTTTCTGCTGCAGGCCGCTGTTGCCTTTCCGTGTCCGTGGGCATAGGGGAGCATTTCCCATGGAAGACTGGTACCATAACACAGCCATACGGGATCTCCAGGCCTAAGGTGAGACTTGGTAGAGAGCGTGTGCTAACCAAGTGCCTCCTTGGGTTAAGGGAGTTAAAATAAAATTCAGTGGATTTCTTGAACTGGTACCTAACTAGGTTGAGAGGAGTTTCTCAACCTTAGGAGAATCTTGGCACCTCTGAGTACGGAATGATTCTCAGTGCTGGTTTTGGAATATTCCTGCCTATCACAAAATTCTCAAAATTCAGTTTGTTATATTTTATTTGAAAAGTGTGTCTTCACAGCATGTTTCTTGGGATGAGTGTCACAAAGCTAAATATGGTGGGAAGTCATCATAGTAGATAATGGCAGACTCTAACTAGATCTGGCCAACGTAGTTTTTCCTCAGATAGAGCTTTCCTTGAAGGAAAGAATTAGGATCTCAACTCTTCTTTCATTGGCTTGGGGAATACCATACAAAATTACTCATAGAATGAGCCCTGGCTAGGTGACCAAGGTCAGTGGTTTCCAACGTTAGGCTGTACCAGAATCACTTGAAAGGCTCAAGGAAGCACAGATGCTGGGCCCAAAGCTCAGAGCTCTGGGGGGAGGGGGGGCAGGGACTGATAATTTGGATTTCTAGCAAGTTCCCAAATGATCCTGAGGCTGCTGGTCTGGGGCCACGCTTTGAGAACCACTGCCTTAAGCCATTGGGTCCTGCGCACATCTGAGATGCATTTTTCTCTGTTTATGCAAGGGGGTGGCCAGCTGGACAACTTCCAAGGCGCCACAAACTCCAAGTCTTTGCTCCTCTCCAATCCTTGACGCTGGTTTGTTTGTAACGATTCTAATTGCTTTTCAGCATTTTTTATTCCACTCCCTTGAGCTATAAAGCACAGGCCCAATATTCAAAATTCAAAACCTCAAAACACAGCAGTTTGTGAGGACACATTACTTCCCCTTTTGTTTTCTAAATTCATTTTATGGTTAAAAATATTGATAACAATAAAAAAATTGCATTCTTAAAAGAAGAATGAGCCCACATCAGCAACATCTGAAAGGAAAAGAGAAATGCTTCTTGGTGCAGCGAATTTTAAAACGCTTCCTTCCTAAAACGGTATTACTCCTGGGAAGTAATAGCCCTGAGGTTTCTGGGCTCATCAGTATTCACCAAGCCCTGCCCACTTGGGGCAGTTACTCACCCCATAGGCCTGAGGACTGGTGAGCAGCCGGGAAATGGGCCCGCACCATTCAGGTAACGTGGTGGTCAGTGGAGGACCAGAGTGGGTTAAAATTGGTTTCAGGTATCTGCAAGGCCTGTTAAGGAATACTTGCCAAAAGGAAGTTAGAACGTAGCTTCTCACACAGCACATACCTTTGCATGCAGTGAAAGAGACAGTTATGTTCACCTTTAAGTCCCCTACTCCCTCATTTAGGAGGCAATTTGGCCTGTAAAAATTGCTGTTTATAATCTTTCTTCCACACACTTTTCCAGCCCTCCTGGAGGCCTTTAATCATGAAGAAATGGGGGCCGGGCCATCCAACATCAGAGAGAGGGGTGAATGTTCCTCTTCTCCTTCCTCCCACCCCCTAGGGACCAATGTCTCATCTGCTTAGAAAATGTATTCTTAAGAATTATCTTAAAACAATAGCATAAAAGATTGTGTTTTCTTAAAACTGCACACATAGCTTAAATCACCAGTAATTTTCACAAAGAAGCAAGAGGTATTTCATAAAATGTTCAGTCATTTTAGAACTGGGTAGTGAACATTGATTGTTTTCCAAAATACTTTATTTTCACTATTCAACACAGGCACTTTATACTTCATACATCAATGCGCCTCTATACAAAATTATGTAAATAAGCTGGTGCCAGGTTTGTTCTATTGTCTAGCACCTGTCTTTCTTATCTCTTCATCCCAAAGTGCTCTAACAAGTTAAAAGAAAACCCTGTTCGTCTAAAGCAGTTATGTTTCTCTCCAATCTAGCAATAGTGAAACCCCTAGAGGCTGCCTCAGGTTGCCTTATTATTTCTTTTTTTTGCTCAAAGGAAAGTAGTGGAATTATTTCACCATTCCATCAGACACAACTTTTAAGCTTTATATTATTTCCTCTGCTGGAGAATATTTCACCTCATCAACTTTCTGAAAAGCTATAATAGAGAAAGGGCAAAAATGGAAAGTGGTTAACTTCGGTCGGCTTGTGAAGATCTGAAGTCACCCCCAGGCACTGAGAAAGCGAGAGGATCTTGGAGATGGCTCTCCTGGAGCCCATCTATATCTGGATACCACTCTGTCATTCCTGTGATGCCTGAGCATGTGAGGACACAGGGAGATGCAGCCTACGGGGCCAGGAATTCTGTTGCCTCTGGCTTCAAATCCTCCCCATCAAAGTGGTGATGAAGCAGGGGATACTCATGAACACAGTCTAATTATGATGCAAGGAGAGCGACTGAAAAAAGGCTTAAGAGCAACTATAATTCCAAATGCAAATGGAAAACTTGACAATTCCTTTCACACAGGCAGCTGTTGTGCTCGGTGAAGGACCAGGGAAGGTATCAAAGTTCAGATCCTGGCATTCCCTGTAACAGTTTTTGAGTATGTCTGACTCTGGAAATCCTGTGATGGTCTTCCATTAATTTTTGTTACAAATTGTTATTTCCTTCATTGTATGGATGAAGGAACAGAAGCCTACAGATGTAATCATTTTAAATAATCCAAAGGTTCCCGTTGCTATTTGAATCTGCCACCATCACCGCGAGCAAAAGAGAAATGAGCAGGGCAGAATCTGCACGTGACCAGCTGGTACTCTAGAGAGAAACTCTTGTTCACCTCATCCGTGCAGGCAAGCTGCAGACCTTCTCACATAGGGGCACATGAGGACACGTGGTCTTATTAGGGTTTATGGTGTGAATAGGTAAGCAAAAAATACTTTTGTAGGGAGGTGAGGTGTGTAACCTATATGTACAACTGGAATGTAAATCAAGGCAAATCCAGCCAATTTTATTTCAAGATGGAATTTTCAAGATGGAAAAGTGACAGATGTTATATTAAAAACAAAAAACAAAAACACAAAAACCCGAAGAGATCTGTCAAGGCTCTAATTCTTTCAGAGAGGCCTGAGCAACTTTTTCTGTTTGAGGTTCTTAGAATATTGGAAAATTAAATTGCACAATGCCAAAATAATATTACAAAAGTAAGGCACAAATTTAGAATTGTAATGAACATTTTCTTCTTTCAGTCTTGATGAGGTATCTCTTTAACTCTATGTGTCATGTTACTGGAGCTAACACTTCATGGCAGAATTTTAGCTTTTTGTGAATGTGAGGCCTGGACCAAAGGGGGTACCATTTGGCCTTTGCTGGATAGGTTCTGGGATTTCTGACTCTGAATGCCTGGGCATAACTGTCAACTCTGCCGCTTTCTGACTGTATGACCTGTGGTCTAGTTATTTACCGCTGTGAGCCTCAAGTATGGTTGTGAATATTAATGAGAAATAACATTATGTAAAAATGGCTTTAAACTCTTATGTGCTATTCACATACTATTTATTTTGTTTCAAATAATTATTTTCTAAGCAATGCTTCTGAGAGACCTGTGTTTTGATCATTGTTGGGATAATAGTGGGGAAATGATACTGAGGCTAGAGAGGAGAAAATGGCACTCCAGGCATTTGGTGTGGCCTTGGGGGTCAGACGCTAGTTAGCATGTGGGAAATTTAAGGTACCCCTACATCAAAAATGGGTATTTGGGTTAAGATTTGTTGTTTAGGTAGCTAGTGTGGGGTGGTAGGTGAGAGGTGGGCAGAATTTGTCGATGTATGAGTCTTCTAGGAAATTGATGATGCTGTTTTTGCTGCTCTGGTGTCTCAGTAGCTGTGAGTCAAAGGAATGAGGTGTACCCTGTGTGGCAGTGAGCGGAATGTGCAGAGCACCACCCATAGCCACGGCGCGTGTGCAGCAGGCTCTATGTCAAACATGTTGGTTTGCCCAGGGCTTGCCGTATATTCTGTGCTAAGTGGATGTTTGTTGGGAACTCTTCTGGGGTGGTATGAGTGACGGGAGTAGATTCTGAATAACTAGACAAGAGAAGATGAAGAGGGCAGAGTATAGCTGACGAAGGAGGTTTTTCTGAGGATAAAAGGCTAAGAAAGGTTACGTTGAAGACGGACCTCTTGGGCCTGAGTTATTAGACTGAGGGAGGGGACCATGAGAAAACAGCGGTAACGGCATGAACTGAAGTGGTTAAAAAATAATCTGGTGTTTACTCACTCATTCATTTGCTCCTTCAGACCCTCACAGGTTTTTGTTTTATGTGCCAAAGTAGTGAGGCATCTACACAAGGACATGGACAATTAACTGCATTATAGAATGGAAGCTCCCTGGTCTCCACACTGCGGTTTGCTTGAGGGCAGGCCTGTTCCGTTCACCTGGGTACAGTGCTTGACACATTTTAGATGTTCAAGAAATAGCTATTGAATTAATGAAGACAACAGGCTCAGAGAGAGGAAAGAATTGCTTGATGGAACCCTGCCAGATAGTTAATGGCAGTGCTGGTGTGGGATCAAGAACATTTCTGTCACATGGGGCATCTTTCTTCTGCTAGAGAAGACTCCGAATGACAGGTCTCATCTGATTGGACAGCTGATTTGGAATTGAGGATTCAGTGATTTTCCGGGTTCTTTATTGCTGAGCAATGGCTAAAACGTGGCTGGATCTCCAGGGTTACCTGAATTATTAAAGAGTAGGAAAACTCTTGATCTACAAAAAAAAAAAACAAAAAAACAAAAAAACAAAAAACCCCAGCTGCTGATTTTGCAAAATGTGTTATTTTTTTCATCAGGTTCTAGTATATATTTGGGGAGGGAGATTCCCCATTGGGTATTTTTGGTACAGCTAGTTTTGTTTCTCTAATAAGCTAGAAATGTATCGAGATGAAATGTGAAGCTCTGTGGGGAAGAAAACAATGACTTTTCCCATCTAAAGGGCATAGGTTTGGGAATAGCAGTTTGGTTCAGGAGATGTAAGTAAAAGCTGGAATTCTACCCAGAGTGTAACATGCGTGTAATAAGGAAGACAATTAACAGATGCCATTTGTTTTCTTGGCCTGAGCTATCAGAAGGTCCAGAGCCAAATTTAGTGCTTAACCTGAACTAACATCTAAAATACCTGGTAACACTGATTTAGTTCTCTTTTTCGTTTGTTTTTAATTATTTTAAATCCTCATGTTTTACCCATTGTAGGTTGCCAAAACTAATGGATATACAGCCTGCTCATATGCTTCATATGACATGGTCCTACGTAGACTGGTGAGATGCAAAAACCCTATGCAAAGATCCAGCTCTACAAATGAATGTCTGCCCCTTTGAGGAGACTAAGCCCCACTGCCCCCTACCATGGACTGAGCATTTGCATTCTTCCCAAATCCATATATTGAAGTCCTAACCTCCCAGGTGATTGTATTTGGAGACGGGGCCTTTGGCAGGTGGATTAGTTGAGGTCTTGAGGGAGGTCCTCCATGATGGGATTCCTGCCCTTATAAGAAGAAATACCAGTGTTTATTTGCTCTCACTCCATATGTCCACAAAGAAGAAGTCATGTGAGCATATAGTGAGATGGTGACCATCTGCAAGCCCGGAAGAGAGTTCTCACCAGAACCCCATCATGCCGGCACCCTGATCTCAGACTTCTAGCCTCTAGAACTGTGAGAAAATAAATGTCTGTTGTGTAAGTCACCGAGTCTATGGTATGTTGTTATGACAGCCTGGGCAGACTAACACACTTCCTCTCTCTGGACCTCTTTAAAAATCTCTAAGAGCCCCGAAGACCTATGTTCTATCTTGGCTTTCTCTAATCTTGCCTTATCGTAAAGATCATCTTGGACATTTGTTAAAAATTCAGCTTTCCAAGGGGCTCAGTCAGTTAAGTGTCTGACGTAGGCTTAGGTCATGATTTCATAGTTTGTGAGTTTGAGCCCTGAGTTGGGCTATGTGCTGATAGCTCGGAGCCTGGAGTATCCTTCAGATTCTGTGTCTCCCTCACTTTCTGACCCTCCCCAGCTCATGCTCTATCTCTCTCCCAAAAATAAACATTTAAAAAATTCAAAAATTCAGATTTCCAAGCCTTACACTGGAGATTTTGATTTGGCAGGTCTGGGAAGTGGCCTGGGACTTTGTATTTTACAGATAGTCTATATTTTAAGTGCCACAGGTGACTGGTGATTAGGCAAGGATGGAACACGATTCTCTCTGGAGTGTTGCCCTCCACAGGAGATTCAGATTTTAAATAGGAAGAAAACATGGTGTCTTACATCTACAAAGCCATCATTTTTAGGGGGGTGAGGATATGTATAAGGTGAGCCCATTCGGCCCAGAACCCAGGCCTATGGAATGTAATGACCTTTGCCAGTTATTCCATCTTGTCTGGGGGATGGGTTAGATAGTTAGCTCAAAAAGATGAAGGCTTGACGATGTTATACCTGAGACTGAATTAATGAAGTGTCACGTCTGAGCTTGTGTAGGAAGACTTTGTGTGTATTGGGAGCATTTATGT